GATCCTGAGAAACATTTGTGTCACCTCCTCTGAACAACCTCTCTTCTCCAGCAGTTCCCTCAGATGCTTCCAGGGTGTGACTTGGTAGGGTCAAAACAGTCTTCCAAATGACCAACCTAGAGTTTTCTTGCTGCAACTTAAGTTCTTTGCTTCATATCCTATCCTTGGTAGAAATGGCCAAGAGTTGCTTCTCTGCTTTGCTTTTACCTTTTCCTTATTTGAAAGTGGTTATCTTCTCACATCAGCCTTCTCTAAATTTAAACAAACCTAATTCCTTTCCTGGTAGGTCATGTTTTCTAGATCTGATAACTTTCTTCCTCTGGATTCTCTCCAGAGCTTTAGCACTCCAGCTGTGGATTTGTACTGCTGAACAAAGCAAAAGGAAAATCCCATGGGCCTGCAACATTTCAAGCCTTCAGAGAAAATTTGCCATCTGCAAATTTAGAATTAGTTGGTTTTTACTCATCTGCTCATTATCATCTTGATGTTTATAAAAAACTTGTTGAATTCTCGATCCCATTGTTTTTATATAATTGAAGCTGAGTTTGTTCACAAATTAAAAATAAAATGTATCTTTAAAAGTGTAATTTACCCCTTCAACACTAAAAATCTTTACCTCTAGAATTAAAGTTTTTCTGAAAGACAGATTTTAGGAATATTGGTCTGGTTGAAAGAATGATTTGGTAGCCATCTACAGCTATTCATAGCCAGAAGATCAGTGTGGATAACAACACTGGTGCTTTCTCACCTGCCAATTCTTGCAGGTGCCATTGTAGATTATCTCAAAAATACCTACACTTCATCCCCTTCAAGCAGACACAATTTAGAAGACTTGGGAGATATAATGTTTTCTTTCTCAGACACCTCTCAGAATCAAGGCGTGTTTTCAGTCATTCTCGTGTTCCTGCACCAATATCTGCAGAGTATTAATCCTCTTCCAGTGGTTATGTGACACCACAGTGAAGGCACCGTTTGGCACCTGTACACTGAAATCCAAGAAAGTAAATGAATTAAACAAACAGAGAAAATGGTTTAACTTTTGCAAGATATTATGAAATAAGATTAGTCCCTAATGACTTTTGAAAGACAGTGTTTTCATGTTGGTTCATTGTGCAAATATTGAAGGGTATGAAACATATCAAGGCCTTAAATCTGCACTTGTCCTATGCTCCTGTGAGGAGCTATTGATCTCAGTTGTTGGTCTGTGAGCAGCAGCTTTCTGGGCAAGTCCAGGTTTGCATTGCTCATAAAGTGAAGGCATAAGAGAATGTTTTGTGCAAGTAAAGAAACCAGTCCCTTGATAAGAAGTTGCGGACTATCATTTGGTTTTAGTTAAATACATTGGTTTGATCAGCTCTGACAACGGCTAGTCTTGTTTCTCTGCGTTTTTAAAGTAATTTTTCAAGTTACTCTACTGAGGGAACATAACGATAATAAGTCCTATCTTGTACCTCATCGAGCTGTCTTGAATGGATTGGCGATAAAACCTGTTTATAAAATCCTTTATTGCCCCTACTAATGTAACATTGCATTGTTTGGGGGGGGTGGGGGAGATACCTCCATTGTGCAGAGAAAAAGTGTCTTAATAACTGAACAACAAAAGATATGCTTAGAAGTGACTTAACTGGAGAGAATGGAAAGCAACTGCAGGAAGGATGCATTTGGGTTTGCAGCTAAAGGAGTTTTATGCACAGGGAAAACTGTCTTGAAATATGTAAGACTGGTGTTGGAAGGAAAACTCTAGTTAGGAGAGACCTCCTAAACTGCAGTAGTGTGCTTTAAATAATCCTAGAATGATCTGTCATGTGTACAGGCTCTGATTCTGGTGAAGGGAGGTGGGGTTAATTACCCCCAGGAGCTTAACTCTTTGTCTGCTGGAAGTTGGTATTGCAAGATTTGGAGTTTGCTAATAAAAATAAGGCTTGCTTTTAAAAACAATTTTTATAAATTTAAATTGGATTGTAAATCCACATGTTTCACAAGAGATTCATAGCTCATTAGAAATGTGAAACAAAGTTCATCTGTCAACAGCTTGTATTATTTTTGATAATCGTGTAGAACTTCAGCATAACAAGTCTGAAATTTTTCATCACAGTTGGGTCCTTAGAATTCAAGCTAAGAGGGATGTGGAATTGCCTTTTGATATGCAGAGGTGAGCTGGAAGTGATTAACCGAGTTAGCTCATTATTTTCCTGAAATAAGAGGGAGTCATTTAGCAGTTGTAATACAAGTGTTTTTTTCTCCTTGGTCCTCTAGATTGATCTGTAGTGTCAGCATTCACCAAAACAGAAATCACTGAAAATAACCTTTAGTATGAGAGGTTTTCTTCCAGCAGGTTGCTTCCTGCCCCAATTGTACAGATGTTCTGGAAGAAACATTTGGTTGTCTTACATTTTAGAGTCTGGAATAGTAGCTACTAATGCCTTAAGATGATATCCAAGTATGTAAAAAGGAATGGGAAGGGAGATAGCACCTTAGTGAAAATTCACCGGTAAACACAATGCAAGATATAACATGAATATCAAGTAACATTAATTACTTTAGAGCCTCACTGTGATCCTTGTGCTTTTTAATTATTTCGGCATAATGTAATAACAAGGGCTGGTTTATAGGGCGATAATAAGACTTGAGGCTATGACTGTGACAGATTTTGTAAGCAGAGGGTGGTTGGGCTGAGCAAAAGCTGCCTGTGGCTGTGCTGTGCATTGCATGCTGTTGAGCCTGGGATCAGGGAGGGGAAGGATTTCCTCCTGTAGTCACCTTTGAAGAACAGACCCAGGAAACAGTCCCATTTGGTGCTGTCTTCTGGTGAAATGCTCAGTCGTGGTCTCGATCATGTGAAGTCAATGAATCCTCCAGTAGCCATTTTCCCCTGCACTATGGCAATAAAACTGAAACCTCCCTAATTATCCCTGTTAACATTCAATTACCTCTCGTTTACCTAAAATTCCCCCTGTATGTGAAGGCTTAAGTGGACATGATTGTTTCCTGTCAGTCCTTTCCCAGTATCGCTGTGTTTATGCTTTGGCTTTAATCTTACATACAAGTTTCAACTCTTGCAGGGGTTGAATCAACCATTCAGCCTTCTGAGGATGAGGAAGGATGGTGTGTTTCACTGTTTTACCAAGGTTTACATCTCCCTTCATGTGATGAGAATTTAAAAATTTTGTATATTCTGGATTTCCCAGATAATAAGTGGTGCATTTGGCCAGACTTCTCACCCACTTACCATTTGTGTGTGGTTCCCTGTGAATCCATCTGCTCCCTCATTATCAGTTATTAAAAAGCGTTTGAGGCAGTGATTAGCCTGGCGATTGCTGTGCTGAAATGTTCAAACCAATGTGAAGTTAAGAAATGCCTCATTTATGGAAACAGACGGGCAAGTAAGGAAAATCAAGTTCTTGGGAGTCCATTTCACATGTGCTGATCCCTCCGAGCTCCTGTTAAGAGCCTGGAGAAGTGGAAATACCCCATACTTTGGACGTCAGACTGGTAATGTTGGTCTGTGAGACTGAGAGGCTGCTCCCTGTTTCCCAGGTTTCAGCTCTGGTTTTTTTTTTGCAAGACACCGTAGCCTCTGAGGGACTGGACTGTCAGGTTTTGGTTATCTCTAGCGATTGGTTGATTGGTGAGTTCAACTGAGGGCTGCTGAAAATATTTCCTCTTTCAGGGAGTTCTCCAGCCCAAAGCTCAGAGGTGTCATGGCCTTCCATGTACAACCTCTCCTTCTTTCTCCGTGCGGTAAATGCCGTTCTGCCACTTTTCACCTATTGTTTTATGGGCATCCTGTGAGATCCCAGTGAGAGGTGTATCAGCATGAGGATGGAGGTGTGCAGAAGGGGAAGCCCCTCTCTTCTGCCCCAGCAGAGTAAAACTGTTACAGTTTGGGGATTTTGAGTGTTTACGCAGCGAACTGGATTTTTAAGTGTGTTTGCAGCTCATGTGTGCATGTTTGAACACTCCCATCCACTTAGATTAGTTAGAGTCACCAAACTTCTTCGTTTTTCAAAATAAAACTGCATTATGCCTAGACACGTTGAGCCAAATCTGTTCCTGGTGTTGTTTCACTGACTTCTTGAAGAATTACACCAGAGGTGAATGTGGTCTGGTATAGCAGCTTTTTTGCCTGGAGCAAGTCTTTATAGCAGAGTTGTATTTCTCTCAAAAATATAAAAGGAACACTGACAGATCTGCAGCTCTGCTGGTGTGAGCAGGTGCAGCTATATTAAATTATTTCTTATTAAATTGATTCAGCAACTTGAAGCTTGTAATTTTTGTTCAGCTATGGTTCTGTGACAGAGACCTTTTAAATCAAGGAGAGCATATATCTTTTCTTGTAATTCCTTTCTCTGATATTATCATTTAAAAAATTTCTTCTCGTATGTAGCTCAGCTTCTTATTGTATTATTTATTTGGGTAAGATCTGAAAATTACAGCCTTTTCCACTTCATTGCATTGAGCTGTGTCATCACTAGTGTAATTCCATTTACTCCACTGACATCCGGATGAATGCGAACAATAGTTTTTGCTTTTGTTTTTAGGTTCAAGTGGGTTTAGGCTCTGGTGGTCACTGTGGCATAAATTGGTGTGTTTCCCTTCCAGCCAGTGGAAGTACGCTGATTTACTCCTGCCTGAGGGTCTGGCTCGTTATTTTAAGGGTGCCAGTCTTCAGCCAGATGAAATGTGGCTGGAGAGTTTTTCCAAGTATTAAGACCCACTTTGTCTATCTGTGAAAAATAACCCGATGCTCTATGCCTTCATGTAATTGCACACAGAAAATGTGGTAGAGTTCCCCTTCTGACGGCCTTGTTGCTCCACCTGTGCTCATTTGAGGTAGAATGGTTATTAGTTTTTCACTTTTCCTGGGTGCACCCCATGCTCTTGTTACGGCCATTCCTGCTCAGCTGCAGTTAACTTAGCATCAGAAGTAGACAGAAATGTTTGCCTGGAGTTCCATGTCTTTAATGCCTTTTGGGGTTGTTTGTTTGTTTGTTTTGCAGGTTTATTTCCTTGAAGACTCCAGGCTTAGGCTTGGAGACCCCAGCCATCACCATTGAGCCCAGCAGCTGGAGCGGCAGCGAGAGTCCTGCCGAAGATATTGAAAGAATGAGTGATTCTGCAGATAAACCTATTGACAATGATGCAGAAGGTGTCTGGAGCCCTGACATTGAACAGAGCTTTCAGGAGGCTCTAGCTATCTATCCACCATGTGGGAGGAGGAAAATCATCTTATCAGATGAAGGCAAAATGTATGGTAAGTGGTACATGTTTTAGCCTTTGGAAATAATTGTGCCAATGAAAACTGTAGAGCTCAGCTTGTTTTCACACAAAATTCCTAGTTCTGATTTTGGTACTTTTGGAGTAAACCTGGAAGAAACCTGTGAAGTTGACAGAGCTCAGCTGGGCTGACGTGGTGGTCAGGACTGTCTGAGCCAGTTCCTTCACGACTGGCACTAGGAAGCAATATTGATACAGAATTGTGCCTCTAACAAGTGCTGTGCTGTGGCTGAATGTGACTGTTTAAAAGAAATTTCTAAATGTGTTACTCCTTGGGCATAGAAGAAGTAAGCATTTTTCTTTATTTTTTAATAAATGGTGAAGACAGGGATGTGGGAAGCACTGTCTGCGTGGTGGTGTGGCAGATTTTGCAATACCGAACTGAAAAGTGATAAAGTTCTCCTTGTGTTCAGAAGCCTCTCGATGAAAGAGGAAAGTTAGGGGTGCCTTGGCATCTCTTTTCTTTTTTTTTTCCCTTTTCCCTTCCCTCCGTGCGAACTGCTACAAATCAGATGACGTGCTGACAGCATTCCATAAATACGGGCTCCGCGGAGGGACACTGACATCTGCACGCACCGTCGGGGCTCTGTAGCTTTCGTCCCGCTCTCGTTTTTTTTTACTTTTCCATTTTGCAAACCCCTCTTGGGGACGGGCAGAGCCCCTCCCTGGGGTGCCCGTGCTGTGGGTGGCTGTGCCCCTGGGGACACTCGAACACTGGCTCTGGCTGTACCTGGCCGGGCAGCCCCCGGCAGGGGCGGGGGCCCAGCCCCGAGCAGATGGTGCTGCAGCTGCCACCAGCTGTGCCCCCCGCCTGAGGTCATGGAAACAGGGACTCTGCTGCCGCTGCTGCCGGGACCAGGGCCCCCGGCCCCCTCCGCAGCTGCCGTGTGACCCCGGCGGCCACACCAAACAGTCGCGTCTGGGAAAAAAAAAAAAAAAGGGGCTGGGATGAAGCATCTCAGCTGCCCTTGGCAGAAAGTTGCTGGGGCCGGGTTTCCTGCCTGGGTGTTTGCTTTTTTTCCTCCCCCCCTTCTCCCGCCCTCCTGTTCTGCCACTGCCCAAGGGAATATAATCTCTCTTGTCCTCTCCTTCTCGCCCCTTTCCGCCTGTTTTGATTGCATTTTGATGCTGTTATTTTCCTTTGGAAAGGGGAGATGATTTGCCTAATTAGAAGGTTGTGCTCCTTCTAGGAGTACATAAGCATGTATATACAAACAAGCTTATTGTGTACTTATGCTCAAAAGCTCTACTTAGGCTTGAACAGCCTCATCAGCCAAAATAACTGTGGCTGCATTTTTTTTTAATCAGGATCCCTACAACCACACTAGTCACCCCTGAAATCCGATTTTCGCTGTTCTGAAGCATTTTTTGTGCCATTGTATAAATTAAAGAAATTAACTTATTTATCCATTCACTTTGACAATCACTGACTTCATTTGATGGTTCTCTAATCCCGAAAGTTAAGACTTGTTGAATTATATATGTATAAAGCTATTTGTGCATATCTAATTGCTGATTAATACTGGTAGCTAGTAGTACCATAAGCATATGCACATCTCACATTTGTACTAATCCTAAGTCAAATATAGTTTATTTTCAATCAAAAAAGGATCTAAGTGTACTTGATGCTGAAAACCTGACTTAAAGCGTTGCCCTGATTGAGAAGAAAAAAAATGTATTAGGAAGTGCAAGGGTACTCTATGAGCAGAATTTACATCCTGACTGTGCAGTGGATGAACTCATGTTTTCATTCTTCAAGCTGAGTAACTGCTTTGTAGTGTTTGAGGATTTATTGAAACCATGCTAGGTTTCTGAGGACTTTTCTAATAGAGTCTTATGGCCCTGAGAGCATAATTGTTCTCAAAGGATTTTGAAATCAAAACAGTGTAAGTGTTTTAGATTCTGTGTGGCATAATGAAAATAATTTAATGCCTTTTAGTGGCATACCAAGTTTATTTCACTTACAAGAGAGACACTGCAGTATCTCTAAGCTTCCACAGTGTTGGGGGATATTGTAATGTGTCAGTAATTCATGAACCTTGTAAGACAAAAGGTCAAGAGAGCACCATTTCATTTTCTGTCTGAAATTACCTTTAGATATAGGCACAAGAACAAATATGATTTTTATAGAGGCAAATATAATGATCACTCTGTGTGGATTAAGTTAAGCAATTGTAGTTTTTGATCTTCGGAGGGAGACTTTGAGAAGAGCAGGGATTTTGCTTGAAGAAATATTTTAAGTCTCTGCCTTTGATTTAATGACAGTTTTGTGACATTCGTGTAAGCAGAAGCCAGAGTTTCTTCACTGTTCTTTGTGGTGGTCTAAAACCATCCTTAAACTCGTGTTTCTATGAGCTCTGTGTACAGACTCTTGGTCAGCTGGCTCAGGGGGACTTGGTGGATTGCTCAAGGAGGACTGGGGGGCATGAAATCTGGGGGGTGGGGGTGGCAGAGGGGCGCCTGCCCCTGGTGCCACCTGGGCAGGAGCAGCGTGTCCCACTGGTACTGAGGGACATCTGTGACCTCTCTGGGCAGCCTGAATCACTTCAACTGTTCCTCTACAGCTGAAATCTCAAATGAAGGAGGGAAGGGAAGGGAAGGGTGTTTTCCTCTCCCCTTGCCTTCCCAAAAAAGTAACTTAAGGCACAAGAAGATGACGAGAACAAAAAACTTCTGATCCTATACCCACAGAAAAGGGTTGCAGGGCCCCATGGCTGAGAAGGGAAAGAGGATGTCTAGACTTTTTTTTTTTTTTTTGCCTTAGGGCATCCTCAGGCTATAAAGGCAAAGCTATAAATGCTCCTGTGCAAGACCAGGAGTGTTTTAGGCTACTGCTGGCCCAGGGTTGTGGCTCCTCGAAGAAACCTTCAGAAAAGAAAATGAAAGCTTAATGAAACTCTCATTTTTAAATTAATAGGAAATGGTTGGATAAGAAGCAAAGACACTTGTTTTGGTTCAGATGGGTAAATTCCAGGAACTGTAGTTTGGAAATTCTTGAGAGAGAGGGAATGCAGGGTGAGGCCAAGGGAACAGGGATAAGCTTTCTGCAGGAAAGCACTATCCATCACTTCTTTTCCTCTTTCCCTTGTGCGTGTGATTCTGAAGGTCTTAGAGTGTTGGTTTTGTTCCTAGTGCAGTATTGACTAAAAGTAAATAAAATTAAAGAAAGGTGAGGATGGTATAAGTATGAAGGCTTGAAGGAGGATAGAGGAACACATCTATAAGTTGATGCTCACACTCTTTGTGGAAGCAGGCAAGCATGACCCATAGAGGAAAGACAGAGTTCTTAGACCCGTTTTCATTTGTCTTGCAAGGTATTCGTAAGATTTTTTTCATCTGTACCATTTCAAAATAAAAATTGATCAAACAAAAATACCATCCACTGGTACAAAGTGGGACACCCTATAATTTGCCTTCCCTCTCAGAGATCCATTCCCATGAATTTCCATGTCCTTGTTTATCCAGCACATAGTAAAACTCAAGCCCATTAGAGGGCATTGGCTGTCCTGTATTTGTACTTTCTTCCGATTGTTGGTCTTTTACTGCTGACAGTTTAGTTGCTTGTAGCAATTCCTGTGAACTCACTTATTGGCAGGATATTTGCCTGTGCTTGTCTTTGCTCCGGGGAGAGTGTTTTGGAAAAGATTACAAGAACGAAAGCTGCTGTGAAATGCAGCCCTACTGTTATCCCTGGTGTAACACTGAAGTCAGTGGAATTACCATGAGAATGGATTTGGCCCTGCGTGCACATTTTCATCTTTTTTTTTAATTTAGCTATAGAGAGAAGTAGCTTTAGTGCAGTTCTAGGGACAATGCCAAAGTGCCATAAGCTGCTAGGAAGTGTGATATGCCTGCAGGCATGTTGCTATCAGCACTTCTAACTTAGCCTCAAGGTAGCAGAGGTGGCTTTTGCCTTTAAGACATGAACATAAATTGATCTTAAATTTTGAGACCTGTAAACAGCTCTTCAGTTATAAATTTGCATTGGAGGTGTTCTTCTCTGCAACAAAACTGCTTGAAAGCATGTAGTGATTATTTAAAAAGCAAGTTTTGTAGCATCTTTAGTTGTTTTACAGAGAAGAACGAGTACTAATTAATGTGAGGAGGTGTTGTATATGTTTATTAGGTTATACATAAAATCTTTTGCTATGCACTGCCGTGACAGTAAAGGGAAAATGATACTTTCATAAAAATTTCATCTCAGGTAATAGAATTTTTGCATGATGAGCAATAATAGTCTTCATTTCCAAAGCACCTTGTATAACCCGAATATTAAAATTGAACTTTGAACTAGTACATTGACAAAAGAAATCCTGTTCTGTAGGCTTGTGTGATTCTGTAGCTAACTGCTATTATTTGGTGTTTTTCTGGGTTTCTAATGGGAAACTGCAAGGTAAATAGCTTTATGAAGAATATGGTAACATGGTATAAATTATTTTTACTACTGCTTTTAATTTTAAAAGTCCCATGCAAGTTACTGCCTCTATAAAGCCATTGCTACCTTATAAACTTTCCACAGTATTAAATATATTTGAATGTGAATAAGGTATTTGGAGTGATGAAATACCAGATGTGCAGTATCAGGTTGCATGTTTATTCATCTGTTACTGCAATCACTGTACAAAGATACACTCCTGTATTCCCCCCCCCCTTTTTTTTTTTTTTTTTTTTTTTTTTTTTTTTTTTTTGGTCTCACAGCAACAGGCACCAACTGCACTAGGAGATGGGACTCCTATTATGAAAGTTGCTGTTTGGGTTTCTTAGGTTGTAAACAAATGTGTCTAGAAACACTCTCGCAGGGCTGGGCTTGCTCGGGGCGTTACATCACGGCAGGGCGCACGCGTGACGCCAGGCTGTGCACGCCTGTGCCGAGCCACTGGCCAGCAGGGAAAGGGGACCAAGGGCCAGGGATATGCTGTCTGTTTGAAAAGTTACTGCTTGGAAGTACTTGAATGATGAGCGAACCTGCCTGTGAAC